ACAAACCAAGCCAAAGAGTGAAGGATATAAAATATTAAGTCTTTTACAGGCAATTTATTATTGATTGGCTAAGTTTATTAAAAATAAGACCCAACAACCTACTGCCTATGAGAAACGCACTACACAAGATAAGATATACAAGACTGAAAGCTAAAGGATAGAAAATGGTACTCTACGCAAATAGTAACCTAAAGCAAGCAGGAGTAGCTACACTTATATCTGAAAAAAAAGACTTTTAAGGCAAAAACTGTAATAATAGACAAAAATTACTAGTTAATGTTCAAGTGATATATTTATCAAGGCTACAAGCCTACTGAGTAGTGCCACCCATGGTTATAGTAAACCCTTTCCTGTACTTGTTGCCACTAGGAAGTTTATTTTGTAATCTCATGGAGAAATTATTGGAATTCTAGTGAGTTAATTCTAATCTACCATTTCCAGTACAACCCAAGGCCAGAATAAAGACACTAAGACATGTATAGAGTTATGGGGAGCCAAGGGGCCCTAAGTCCAGCCAAGATGGTGGTTGTTCACCAGACAAAGGCCACAACCCAGAGCCCAACTTGGATTTTATTAATTCTTCATGAAGAGAGTGGCTCAGGGATGAATGACTGACAGTGGCAAGAAATACGTGATTGCCATGAATACAATGAACCAGACTAGGTAGAAGGTCTGAGATCACCTCTGCAATATGTAGATAGCAAGAAATGCAGAGAGAGTAATCTGCATAGCACAACTGACATAGAATTTAATAACTTAGGGTGAGTGCTTCAGTTCTAATGTTCAATCCTTTTTGTCCTGGGAGATCATAGCCTTTTTCTCAAGGTTTGGTCCCAGCCAACAGTGTGGAGAAAGGCTCTCCATCCTGCCAAGCTCAACTATATATTAGGGGAGTCACTACATGTGGAAATGCTGACCTTTCACCTTGCTTGAGATTACACATCAGCTCCTCAGCCAGCCCAATTCACATTGCTTAAAGCCTATGAAGGAACGAAATAGCCTAGCCAACTCTATACATATCAATACATGGAGATAGGGCCAAGTTTATAAAAATGGAGACAGTTGCTCATCTTTTCAAAGATAACCAGGATGAATTGTCTGGATGGTTCCCCACAATGATCAGAGTGTCTCTTCCTCCATTAGTTTGTTGGCCTAAATGCAAATCGTCTCAGACACACATGACAATGTTTTTTAGTAATTGCTGGACATTTCTAATCCAGTCAGTCTAATCATGACAACCATGATTAATGGTTTCATCAGTCTTAAGTAAAAGAACCAAGCTGGAAACATCACAATACCTAATTGCCAGATACAAGTAGAACCATAGTAACCAAAACAGTATCTTTGGGCTTAAAGATAGACATACACAGACCAATGGAACAGGATAGAAACCCCGGAAATAATCCTATACACCACAGCCAACTGGTGCTCAGCAAAGGCATCGGTAACATGCCTTAGAGAAAGGACAGCACTGCTCGGAAAATTCAGCATCCATGTACCGAAATTTAAAACTTGATCCTTGGCTCTCACTCAGTATGACAGCCAACTCGAAATGGATCAAAGACCTAAATATGAAACCTGAAACTCTGAAACTACTCCAAACAAACTGAAGACAAAGAAACAGCAGTTTTGTCCATAGGTCAGCAAAACACAAAAAACAAAACGTGAAAAATGGGATTATGTCAAACTAAAAATCTTCTGCCCAGTAAAGGAAACAGAGTAAAAATAAAACCTACAAGAGGAAATATTTATCAGCTATTCACCTGACAGAGGGTTAATATTCAGAATTTATAAAGATTTCAAAAAGTTTTTTTTAAAGACAAGTTATCCAATTTAAAAATGAACCAGTGAGATCTGACCAGCTAATTCTCAGGAGAAATGCAAATTATGAATATGATTTGCCATCAAGAAAATGCAAATCAAAATTACAATGAGATACCTCAGAATGACTATTATTTTTAAAAATTCTGGCAAAGATGTGGGGAAAATTGAACTCTTATATAGAAATGTAAATTAGAACAATTACTATAGAGACCAGGGTTCCTTAATAAACTAAAACAGAACCACCATAGGATCCAGCTATCCCATTCCCTGGGTGTATATCCAAAGGAAATGAAATCAGCATATCAGAGAGATAACTACATGCCCATATTTATTGATGCATTACTTACAATAGCTAAGATATTGAATTAGTTTAACTGCTTATCAAGAGATGAATGGATAAAGATGTGATACATATACACAATGGAGTATTCAGCCATAAAGAAGAAAATCCTGTCATTGCAACAGAATAGATGAAACTAGAGGACATGACGGTGTGTTAAATCATATAAAGCAGACATAGAACATTCTCTCATATATGGAAAAAAGTCAACCTGAAATTAGAATACCAGATAAGAACTAGAAATGTGGGGGCGGGGGGTGGAGTGATTGACTATGATAAGTGCACACTGTGTACATGAAGAGAGATCACATGGATCCCCATCGATACAATAAATATTTTAATGGAATATTCACTGTAATATTACTAAAGCCCAAGACTTGATGTAACCCTACTATCTCAGAAGGGATGAAAAAAAGTAATATATTTTCAATGTAATGCTGATTAGTAATAAAAACATATTATGGTCAACAAGTAGCAACCTGAATGAAACTCTGCAACATTATGCTAAGTGAAAGGAGATAGCACAAATGAAATATTTGTGTGATTCCATCTGTATGGAGTTCTAGATCAGGTAAAAATTAATCTGTGGTAATAGAAATCAGAGCAGTTGTTGGTTCCAAAAGAAATGGGGTTAGTGCATTCCATCTGGAGTGATGGAAATGTTTTAACATCTTCATAGTGATGTGAATTAAATATATGTATTTCTCAAAATTGAACTATATGCTTAAGCTCTCTATAATTGGATTCTATTTTTAAAACTCTAAAAGATAGAGTATAGACTTTTAGAGCACAGTAGTGTCTAAGAGTTCTCTCATGGGTGGAGAACACAGCAGACAGTTAATAAGGAAGGTCTCAGCTGCTAGCACAATCATCAGTGATGTTTGTAACTCAGCACTGTATATTAGCAGTGACTCATATGCCCTTTAAAGATACCATGTACCAGCAGTTACAGTCCCAATAGTCAAAGCTCTTAGATAGTCAAGTAAGATATTCTTACAAGATATCCCTTACTGAGTCTATGAAGATGCCTCATCTTTCATCTAACAAATGGTTTCTCTTTGTCTTTTGCAGGGGCACAAGGTGAAGCAAAGGAACCGAGAAATGAAACTCAAGGACAGTCCTCAGCCCCGCCAGGCCTCTGGCGGCCTTGGGGAGATGACAACTGCCCTGTGCAGGAGGGTGGGGGTGGGGGGAGGAAAGTCCCTCAGAGGAAGGATGGGGCTCCTTTGCTCTAATTTCTCCACCTGCATTTTGTTCTGTTTACCTGGCAAAAATGAAAGAAAAAATAAGTTTCCTTATCTTGGTGGGAGGACCCCTGTTAATGCATTGTTCAGACACTGTCCCTGTCACTTCTGTTTTCTCTCAAACTTTGTCTGGTGGCAGGGTTTAACACTCATGTGTGTCTCCTGGCCCATCTGCCTTCTCAGTTATTTCACAAAGCTGGCCTACAGTGCTTTCTTCGAAAAGGAAGATGACTGACAGTTGCAGGCCAAATTTCAGCAATTACCACGCCATGTCAGTGTAACCCACAGGTAAAGGAAGAAGGTTAGAAAGGGCAGGGGGGGAGGATCCCTCAGAGTCCACTTTGAAAAGTTCTGAACAATGAGTTTAAAATGTGTTTTCAGAGTTTCCAAAGTACCATTTGTCCCATGTCGCTAGTGAGGGTTGTGGAGAGAGGCTTCAACCAAGAGCACAGAGGTGTAACAAGGAATGTAGGTTCTGGTGGCGACTGGAGTCTTTCCTTCATGGTCAAGCAGCCCGCCATATTGATTTTCAGCAGAGTTCAGTTGCTTCATGACTTTTACCATGTACTTTAGCACTGAGATGTATGAGGTATGACTGAAATATATGAAGTTTAAATTTGTAAAAATTACACTAAAAGACACCCTATTAATAATTCCTTTCAAAATACTCCCTCCGCTTTGACCGCACTCATCGTGTCATTCTTGCCATTATCTGCAGCAGTTCTGGACACCCTCTTCCTGCAAGTTTTTCTGAGGTGTGATTAAAAAACCCAATGATTGCTGCTGCTGAGAGCCATCCTGTAGACAGGGTAGGCTGAAACATCAGTGTGGGTCCTCACTCATCAGCTCTGGCATGGTAGAACTTATGGCTTCCTCAAATTCAGAATGACGTTATAGGGGAACACTTTTAATCAGTCATGGACAGCCATGATGCCAGAATTCAAGATGCAAAAGAATTCTAGAACTGCTTCAGAGAGTGGCAAGGACGATGGAATGAGTGTGTTCAAAGTAAGGAGCAGTATTTTAAAGAAACTAATGGTAATGTGTCTTTTACTGTAAGAAATTATATGAAAATTAAACACTATTTTTCAATCATACCATGTAACAGTGGTAAAGGATGCGTCTGCTGGGTGTTGTCGAGAACTAAGAGGGTTTGCTGCATTTAGGACTTAAACATATTCCTATTTCTTTCAAGGTGTCCACGTGAAGTCTCATGTTTTTCACACAGTAACAGGCCAGTTGTACTCAAAGATGCATGGCCACAAAGTAGAACCCCACTGGCAGTTAAAAATAATCAGAGCTTTTGCTTGCACTGCCAGCTCTCTGCTCTGCAGTGTGTGGCATGGTTTGTTCACACCCAATTCCAGGCTCATTTGACATTTCTGGCTCCCTTACCCTAAAACCACTGAATAAGGCCTATCAGAGGAGCTGCACAGTAATGACAAAAGATGCCCTGGAAAAGGTGGACATATGCACTGATGAACAGAAGTCATCACAGGCATCTGTCCCGGGCCAACAGAAAGTGAAATGCTTGATCCCACGACCCTGCCCTTGTTTTCTGTGGAAACTTACATTTACTGTGTATTTTCTTAAATCCCCCTTCCTTCCTATTTAGGGCTTTAATAGAAGGAGAAAAGTAGTAAATCACCATAAGTATTTCTAAAATGACAGAATGTCTGTTTCCTAAATATCCCATCCAGTTCTTTAAGTTTGTCCTTTCTTTGGAAAAGTCATCTTTTCATCTTCTGAAGATTTTTTTTCAGCTTTCTGAATTTATTACCCCTCCTAGATGGTTTGGTTGGTATATTGGAATGCTTAGCAAATTATAACTCTGTGTATGTCATATTTTTAAAGCTGTTCATCAACACAGCAGTGATGCTATTTAAGTGATTTTGTGAAGTTGGGATATAGCCGTTTCTCTTCCTATTATTCTAGAGTTTGAAGCATAAATGTCCTTTATTGACATTTGACATTGCTTTCTGGAAGAGCAAAGACAAGCCTTATTTTGCAGCATCCAAGAATTGATGCCATCCAAATATTGACAGGTTCTACATTTCATGCCATTTATAACTCAGTTGAAAGTTGTCATTCTTGTGAAGTACCTGATGAGTGCAATCTGCTAGGAACTTGTTTTCCAGCAACTCCCAATGTTACTGTTACTCAGCTACTATAATGAGTTCTACTTTAAAACAAGGAGGGAAGAGGGACGGAGGTTTTGTTAATGGGCTAAGAGGAAAGACACCCAATATTCCTGTGAGGAACAGCCAGAATTACAATTATCCGAGTCCAGGCGTTCTCCTTATCACCAATGACAGCCCTTTTAGTCATTCTTCTTAAATGTGGGTAAATAAAGAATGAAAAGAATAAGTTCTTGGTCTAAAAGTGGTAGAAAAAGGAAAGTAATCTCTGTATCCTGAAAACTAAGACACTGAAGCATAAATATTATCATCTCATTCCTGAATTTCTTTAAACTTCATTTTATAATTAGATTGCAGCTTCATTTTGGTTTTGTTATGCTTTTGGTTACTATTGGGCTATCTTGTTTTATGCTTTAAAACAAATACTAGTTTCCATTCCAGTAGTAATATATTAGTAATCTAGCCATCAGCCAGATGGACGATATCTCAGTGCAGGAAGCCAGCGCTCTCTGGGGTTGTCAGTGCCTGGGCCATACAATGAAATACATTTCAAAAGCTAATTGATTCTCTTGCACATGGATTCTGGGTGTTACTTTCCAACCATACTTCAGTCAGGGTATGTAGTATGAAGGGTTACAGGAGGGAAGGAGGGAAACAGCCCCGGGTGAGTCATGTTTGCACACAGAGGATCAAAGTAGGCCTTCAGCATAACAGTCCTAATTCAGAAGGTACTCACTTGGGGTGAGACAAAGGGCCTATTCCTCTAGCTGGTCACTAGTCAGAGGATCGACAAGCCTTCTTTCATAAAAGCCAAAAAGAGGGCATCCAAAACACTGTCTGTGATATTGGGTCACATATTAATCACCACAGCTAATTGTAAACCTTTCTATGAAACACTGAAAAGCCTCTTTGTGAATTAATACAGTTCTGCTTGACGCATTTGATTTGAAAAGATGTTTCTCTGTATGTGATGCATGTTGGCTGTGCTTCGCACAATAACAAAGTTAGCAGAATATGTCCAATATATTTTCTTGGAGAATAGGGTTTTTATCATATGATTCATTAAGGATTTGCCTTACCCTAACACTTGTGATATAAAGGAAAATCAGAATAAAAGTAATTTTCTTGATCAAGATATGTTTTTACTTAATGCAAATAAATGTAGTCTGTTGCTTGCAAAGGGAAAAATGTCTTCTGGTATAAACTGCTAAATAGGATAATACGTGCCTCTTTTGTTAAACCAGCCTGGAAATGCTGGCTTGCTTCTGAATCTGTTTCATCTGTGCCATACACTAGAGCACTTAAACTGTTGCCTTCATATTATATTTGTTAGCCAGAGTGCAAATAAAAATTGGTTTGAGAGGATAATGTGGAATTATCTGTTTCATGAAGTGTATTATTTAGGCAGTATTATTCATTTAATACTATCTGGTTGTAAATATGTGGAGTATTTAAGATTATGTCTGTAAGTCAACTTTCACCTATTAATACTTTTTCCTTATTAAGTCTGGTCAGTCAGTGTTTTGAAGGTGTTTTTTAAGCTTTAAACTCAGAATAGTTTGCATACTCACAAATCACAATGTCTGAATTTTCTTTAAATACTAGGTAATTAACTGCCTTCACTACAGCTTCTGAGAAGCAGGTATAAATTTCTGAGAGAAAGCCAGTGGTTCCTTGAACATTGGTCCATCTTTTGGGGAGAACCATTCAATGTTGGACTTCTTCCTGAGCTTCTTCAATGAGAGTCTCCATGCTGGCCATGTGATTATGGTGACCATGATCCTCCAAAGTTTACTGTCAACAGGATGTTGATAGAATTTTACAGGTGTTTAAAGTGTGGCAACAGCCCTCCAAAAATCACTAGGAAAAGATTCAACATTCTCTTGAAAATCCAAATGCATATATCAAATTTAATTCCCTTTATCTCCTACAGAATAGGTGCTATCAAGGTGATTGTCCTAGAAGGCAATTAAATCATTCTTTTATCAAGTGAAACCAGAGAGGTAACTATTTAAGGAGAAGATTTTCTGAACTGCTGCATGAGAGGAGCATTTTCCCAATAGTAAACAAGGCTTGATGAGAAAAAAATATATGATGAGAGTCTCATGCTACAATGCACAACCTCAACACAGTGCTTCAGGGTGACAGTGGAGGTAATTTGGCATGAGCCTGGCACTGTGAGATAGAGTTTTATAAATCTGCACCCAACTTCTCCTGTCATTTTCTGTCACTCGTATTTCTCTCCCAACCCTTGTGCTGGCTTCCCGTCTAATTCCATCGATGGCTCTGAGGGCTCAAAAGGATAGTGACACCCATTTAAACTCTCCTTGCTAAGACTCTGGCCTAGTCATGAGATTTGAGGGAGAAAGCGCCTCCACTTCTTGGTGCAGAAAATGGACATACCAATAGGTATGGGAACTCACTCTTAAATTTAAACATGAATAAAGTGCCAAGATATTAGACTTTATTATTTGCAAAAGAACTTGGTAAGTTATTTGCATTAGATTTTGCTGTTTAATACTCTAGGCAAATGGTTCTTTCTCTAGCTCTAAACTAGAGAAAGGACCAAAAAGAATAAATGGTCCTTACAGTTAAATAGTAAATATGAAATCCTGTTATACTAAAGTCGATTTAAACTTTGTCTCCAAATTAAGGACCCATGAAGGTGAAATTGTGTTTTTTTTTTGCTACTGGGAATTTGAGTTCTTAAAATATGTACATCCTAAATATTGGTGTAAATTTGTTAGAGACATATTTTCTCTGATAATAATTAGAGTGACTCTGTAAGTAAAGATAAAGCGGGTACAGTTTTACCACTGCAGTAGTATATATGGAAGGAAGCATATTTACAAAGAGAATTATATCAATGTTCAGTTCACTTACCTTCACTGGGTTAGGATTACATCCTCCCCTAATGAAAAAGGATATACCTGTGTAACTTGTTTTCAAAGCCATGTGGGTAGGAATGGCATGTGTCATGTCTGGCAGCAGCTTGAAGATTCTCATTCTTTTTTCATTATTGTAACAATCAGCAAAACCTCAGGCTGCTCCAAAAGCATAGATCCTGGAGTGAAGATGTAGAATTTCAGGAAATTCATTAGGAAAGTGACATATATCAGAAATAAACCTAAGTTTTGAAATTAGTGGAGGGTGATTTGTTACTATAGCAGAGTGCAGCCTATACTAACTGATACATATGCCATCAACTCTTAAATAAAAAGTCCAAGACTCTATAGCATCTGCTTCACTAACCCTACCTTGTGTGACTCTCAGCTTGGCTGACAATGCTGACTTTGTATTGATCTTTTCTCCATTCCCAGAAGACAAGCCTGTTCAGCCTCAAGACCTTGACCTTAAAAGCTCTTTCACCCGATTCACAGCATCCTTGAACTCTCTGATCTACGTCACTTCCTCGAGTTGCCTTTTCCAACTATGGTATTTCAAAGCAGATCCCCTTCCCAAACTCTAATTAACCCCAGTTTTGTTACTTGGAACACTAACAACTTGTAGTTGCTTATTTGACATAGACCAGAGACAAAAATCTGTATGTGGTAACTCCATTGGACAAAATAATGTAGCCTTTTTTCTTTAAGAATTGAATAGCTGGGAGTTCCAGAAAAAATTTCAGTCTGTGAATTACAAGTATCTCTTTTTCAGTGTAAAATACTCATTTGAGAATAAATATTCAGTTGTTCAAAGTTTAAACTCCCTACTGAAGCTATTTCTTGCCACGAATTTTTGTACCCCTTTAGATAAAAGCCTTACTTTCTAATCTCTATGCAATAAACTAGTCATTAGACAATATGTAATATACTATAATACTTTAAAGGTAAGATTTAAAAATTAATTTTCTAATTATTTTATCAAATAAGTTTTAAGAATAAACTTGACTACAAAAATGAACACTGCTATTATCTGAATGCTGATGTCTCAAATTCAAATGTTGGAATCTAATATCCAATGTAATTATTTTAAAAGGTAGGGATTTGGGGAGAAATAATCATGTCTCAAATGAAGGTTCCACACTTAAGGATGAGAGCAGTGCTTTTTAAAAGATGATACAGCAGCCGCCTTGCTCCTTCTGCCATAGTACAGGGAGCAATGTGCCCCATATAGAGCAGAGAGGCCTCACCAGAAGCTGGTTCTGCTGGTGCACTGATCTAGGACCTCACTCCCCAAAAGTGTGTACAATAAACTTCTGTTGTTCAAAATAACCAACTATTTTATAGTAGCAGCCCAAATGAATTAAGACAAATAATATATAGAATATAGGATAAAACCATGATATGCTTAAAGGAAATTATAGTTTTACAGTCTCTAGTTATATTTTAGTCTCTTTTGTATTAAAAATCTAACAAAAAAATTTTAAAAACATTCAAACTAAGAATTTTAGAAACAGTAAAAAGCAGAAAATCCAGGCATGCATGGTGTTGAACGCCTATAATTCCAGGACCTGAGAAGCTGAGGCAGGAAGATTGCTGCAAGTTCCAGGCCATCCTGGGCTACAAAGTGAGTTCAAGGCCAGCCTGAACTGTATAGTGAAACCTTGTCTCAAAGACAAAAAAAAAAAAAAAAAAAAAAAAAAGGTGTCCATACTCAGACACTACATGAAACTGAGATATTTCTTAAAACCGTAGAACACTAATCTCCTGGTTGTTAAAAAACCCTGTTAAAATAAGCAAATCTTCAGCAATCATCACAAATAATTTTAAAAGGATATCCAAATTATAAGATAAAATTGAATGTATAACTTTATAACATCAGTTGAAGATTTTTAAAAGTAAAATTTACCCAAATATAACCCAGAAGCAGAAAATTCACAGTAAACAAATTAATGGCAAAAATGAAATACCAAGAAGCCATCAGATAAATTGTCCTAATCAATGAATTAAAATAATAGTCACAAATTATCAAAAACCTGTGGATAGTCAGGTCCTATCCTCTATTTTCATGGTATATTATTTTCATGAGTGAATCACACTTTAGATCATTTGTGTACACTGCCTTTTCACTTGTTGTATCATAGACATTTTCTTATCCATCAACCATTTTCCCAAGACATTTAAAAATGTTTTATTATGACTGTAATTTATATATCATTTTTCTATGCTGTGACATTTAGCTTACTTGAAGGTTTCATTTGATTGATTCTCAGTCTCTAAGAACCTTTCTGGCCACAAATTTTTTGTTTACATCAGGGAGTACATCCAGATCACTTCCACTGGCTATCAACAAACTACTTTGTAGTCCTCTTCTAGAAATTATAAAATGAGCATCTCCATTTTTTAGAACCTTTCCTGGAGAATCCTATGTAAACATGGACATAAATACATATCAGTATAAGAAATAGTTTGTCACTATGTTTCCTCTCATCTCATTTACAATGGAGAAAAAGATTTTCTGGCAGCTAATCATATTTTCTGATAGCAGAATTAATCTGCTTATGGCCTTTGATCACTTGTCAAACTGAGATTTTGATTTTCTATTGAAATTTATGAGCCTTTTGTATGTGTATATTACCTTTTCATCATGTTTCCTGCATACAATTCTCTGTTTGTTTTGCTTAATTTTGATTGTAATATTTTCTGTCACACAGACTTTTTATATTTCTATGGAGTCAAATCTCTCTCCCCCTTTGTGTTGACTTTCATTACTTTTGTAGTTGACATTTATTACTTTTGCCTGCTGAGCATTCATTCCTGCTTCTGGTGATAAAGCCTTTCAAGCCTAGTAGAAAATTCCTTTCATGTGTTTTCTGGAGCTAGCAGTCCATCCCTACTCTTTAGCTAGGAGATAAACACATGACTCAGGCTGGCCAATAATACAGCTTTATCTCAATAATAGTGATTGGTTTAGAGAAGTCATGTGACCCAAATTAGACCAATCAGTGCCTTCCCTCAGACTTGATCTGTGGTGGCTGGGTGAAATTCACAAGTCACAGTGGGCTGACTTGTGAATTTCATGTAAACTGACACTGTAATATGAGCCGATAAGTTCCCTTTATTAGCAAATTGGAGATAAGTTTCAGGCTTTTAACGGAGAGCTCTACAATTATTTCACTACAAAGCACAAAATTCTTACAATGTCCAGAGGGCCCATGTGACGTTACTGTTCTCTCTGAGCACAAACTCATCTGTGTTTACCCCCTCATGGGTTTCCATACTCAGACACACAGCCCTGTCTCCCCTTAAGCTATGTACTACTCTTTCCAGGGCTCTCTTCCTCTTGTTAGACATAGGGCTGCTCATTCACCACCTTGGGATTTGCTCAAAGCTGTCCCTGCAAGGTTTACATGACTACCCTTTGTAATGCTGCAGGTGACATCTAGGTTTTACTTTCTCCGTGGGCCCTGTTTTTATCTCCTTTTTCACAGCATTTATTTTTTATTTTTTGAGACAGGCTCTGGCTATGAACTCATGGTATAGCCCAGGCTGATCTTGAACTCATGGCCATCCTCCTGCCTTCTGGGATGACAGGCATGCACCACTGTACTCAGCTTTTTTCCTTGGTACTTATATAATTCATTTACTCATTAAATTCATTTCAAAAGCTCATTGAAAAGTTCTCCCTACTGCAAGAGGGAAAGACAGACTCTATTGAGGGCAAGAATTTTGTGTTTTGTTCACTGAAATATCTCAAGCATCAGAGCACATACTACATATAGGTGTTCACTAAATATTTGTTGAGTACAAAAAAGAATTCTGTTCAATATTTTGTTTTGGGAAGTCATGGCAAATAAATTCCCTTCAGTGAGGCTTGTGATTACCTCTGCAGTTTTTTCTTTTCTTTTCTTTTCTTTTCTTTTTTTTCCTCTTCTTTTTGGGAAGAAACAGAGCAAAGATGGATTAAGCTGTGGCGATTAGCAAGAGACTCTGCAGTTTATCCCATAAGACGAACATCAGATTAAAAAAAGGCAAAAAATTGCTCACAAAATTTTTGTAAGAGGCCAGGCACAGTGTTGTGTACCTATAATCCCAGCTACTCAGGAAGCTGAGACAAGAGCATTGCAAGTGTTAAGTCTAGCCTAAGCAACTTAGTGAGATCTTGTCTCCGTATAAAGAATGCAAAGGGCTGGGGATGTAAATCAGTGGTAGAGCTCTTGCCTAGTGTGGGCAAGACCTGTGTTCAGTCCTCAGTACTGCAGACAAAGCCAAGCACATTGTATTGTGGTTCAAAAGGCCTGTTTCCCATTTATGCAAAGAAAAGAAAGAGGAGAGGGAGGATTCTTCCCCAAACAAAGCAGGAATTATATTCTGATGTCATGATTTTTTAAAATGTGGATGTCAATGAGAGGGAGCCATTAGGATTTGACATGCCTCCAAAAGACAATGACTTACCTACCGCTGAGCGTGAAGGCTGCCTCTCACCTGCACTCAGCCTCTTGTAAGTTCCCGGGTAGCTGCTGTCTCATGGTGTTGTGGCTTTCAGTATGTGGCTTGCAAGGTCACCGTGGAACAGGAAAAGACAGAGACTGCTGATAGTCAGATGCAGGAGGGGCGACACCACATCACTGCCACCCACATTTAATGGGCCACAATGCCAAGAGAACAAAGCTTGGCCAAGTACTTGGCAGGAAAATGAGACGTGTTTGATGACCCTAGAACTGCTTCTGCTTTCTCTCTTTTGAGGAAGATGCTATGATCAAGCCCTGTATTTCCATTCCTCAAGACCCAGGGAGCCGCACTAGCTTGGGGAGGAGTGTCACATGCATATCTTGGGTGAGCCAAGCAATTCTGTGTCAGAGAGAGGGTCCATTAGGAGGGTACCAAAAATCTGCAGGTTGCTCCATGTCTTGCATTTTCTTGGATAGAAACTTGAGGATGTGGTTGAAGACATTTTGTATAGCCTTAGTTCCTGGAACTGGATTTGCATTTGTTATTAAGAAAATCAAAAGAAAACCCAGTCCATGGGAAGGAAACAGTTTTTTTTCCCATGTGCCAAAGATATTGCCTTTGAATTTCAAGTCTTTCCTCTGTCTAGAGACAGGGAAATTGCCCAGATATTCACCTACTTTTCCTTTCCTTCAGTATTTGCACGTGATTCCATTTTCACACACATTCAATGCACCTTAAATTTATTTTGGCATTTGGTATTTAGTGAGAACTAACTTGACTGAGTAGCTTTCAAAGTAGTTCTAGCACCAATAATAATAATAATGCAATAATGATGATATATCCATATTGCTTTGCCCTGAGTTTAACACATACTTTTTTTTATTTAAAAAAGATAAAACATAATAAAGCCAAACAAAACAAACCAGTGTTGTTGATACAGGGTTTCAAAACATTATGAAATCAACAATAGTTACCATAATGCCTTTTGATGTCTTCAAAATAGCTGCAGATAACTTCAAACATAATAAAGATCAAACAGAACAGAAGAGAATAGAAACAATAAAAACAAGACAATGAATACAATAAAGGACTTCAAAACAGCGTAATAGTAAATCCAAAATGCTACCATAAAATATCTTGCTATCTTTGAGATAGCTGCTCCTGCCATTGAATTTAACATAATCAAACAAAACAAAAGAGAATAAAACCCAACCCAACAAAACAATAAAAACGATATAGGACTTCCAAAATAAGATCATAGGGAATCAACAATGGCTGCAACCCCCAGAAAGAGCTTCCCCCCTAGATGCCACACTGTGTACGGCTATCCTCTGAACCTATGATCAGACCACAGGCCACAGACCGACAATGTTAGTGAAACACCACAAAACCACAGGCATCCAATTGCATTTCACCTCCATAGCTATCATCACAGCCTGTGTTTCTCTAGATAAGCTGATCACTTAAGAGGGATGGAGGGACTGCTACTTGTTTGCAGGCCAGTGCACTGGAAGAGGCTGGGGTCTGGCTGTTCCCAGTCTGCCAGTGGCTCATGCATGGCACTGGTTCCCAGACTGGACTTGCTTCCTCAATATGTACTTATTTTACATTTATCAAAGAATCTATTTTCCTGGCAACTCCTTCCATTTTTTCTAGTGTCTCCATATTAATTACTGTAGTTTAACAATCATTGATATCTTGTAAAGCAAACTCAATGCCTCTACTCTTATTTTCAAATGTTTGTGGACTATTACTTATTGTTTAATGTTTCAGATAAACCTTAAAATAGCTTTATCATACTTAGTACATACAGAAACCCCCTTTTTTTTTTCCAAATCTCCCTCTCTTAACACCTAGGGTAAGGAAAAAAAAAAAGGACCAATCAGTTTTGCAAAGCCAGCTGAGCTGGGACATTAAGAGGAAAGGCCATTTGGTATAAATGCAGCTTCTTGAAACGTTCCAGAGGAAAACAACATCCCTGCTCATCCTGGCCTCCCAACAAGCCTAGGCTGTGGTTTGAATCACAATCTGTTTCCAAATATTCTGCTCTGAAGCCTTTCCTGACTGCCTCAGCCTCCAATGCATCAATCTTTTGTCTGAGTCACTTGGTTCTGTGCAGTCAGGAGGCAAAAGCTAGGTAAATGTCACGGTGTCTTGAGTGATCATCCTCTTTACATAATCACCCACTTTGCAAACAAGAGCTAAAGAGCTTGATAGAGCAGGTCCACAGGATTCTCCGTCTGCAGAGTCCGAAACACCGGAACACAGCACTTGGTTATCAAATGCTTCCTGCTGCCACAGCAGAGGTCTGGCAGAGGTTCTTCCCAAAGCAAAGTGAAATGTCTTTGGTTCTAAAACTTTCACCCTATTCCATGGGTTGGCCTGATACAGCTCTTCCTGCACTCACCAGTAGCCTGCTCTGGCAAAGCCTGCCGCAGCTGTATCCTCAGAGATATCAGGTTCTTGCCTCAAGGATGCAGATGGACAAGGGGCAAGCAAATACTGGGCTTTGCTTTGGAGTTTTAGTAAATAGAAAAGCATAAAATAGAAAAGATATAAATACCTAATGTCAAATAGCATTCTTCATTGTTCAAATAATTTCATATATGTTAGCTCAATCTTGATAAAAATGAGACAGGGGCCATATTTACTCCAAACTTATATATCAGCAAACTAAGACACTATTCAGCAAGCAGCAGGGCTACATTTGAACCTGAGAAGTCTGGAGCCTACCATTACTATCCTAACTGCTGCTTCAGGGACTTAACTTTGGCCCATGATCACCTGGAGGCCTTCATAAATCAGACCCTGGAAGCTGGGAATTTACACTTTTAGCAGTTTCTCCGTGATGCAGTTGTTACTGTGGCCCCAGGGATCGCACTTTGAGAACAATAGCACTGCACTGAGATGATTGGCAGGTGTATTCCCTTGAAGCCAGGAAGGATAAACAGACTACAAGGATGTTTATGCCATGCAGCTACGTCCTAGTTTTTAAGTCAGAATGTCTGTGCTCTTTCAGTTCCTAAAGCAACTAAAACCTGTACCACCTTTCAAGGGGCCAACTCTCTCCTGTTTCTGTAGGGTTTCAGGCAGCTGTCTAAATGCAGGACAGCACTAACAGCACTGGCTGAAATATCAAAAAGCCAGCATTTCCTGAAGAATAAATACACAAATCCCAGCTTTGTAGGAACTCTTTAATATTGCTTTCCTGGTGAAAGGTGACATTTACCTGGTGTTTGAAGGTTAATACATAGCCAGTAAGGTCATTTGCCCAAATCACTTTCCTACTTGGCCCATCAACAATACTTTCTTTTTATATGGTATGATTACCATATAAAGGAAAAAGATTAGTGATATTCTATATTTTATATATGTTTTATATATAGGTTTACATATTTCTGGTGTTTATGGTGCTATTTTGGACAAAAGAAAGAATTCTGTGCTGAAACTAAATTGTTATCCCAAATAAGACTGTTTATAAAATCCAATTTGACAGCAATATTGTCCTTGCTTTAAAAAATGTTTAAACATTGCCAAGTTTGCTAGGAATAGTCACTATAATTTTTATTCATGTAAGCAATAATATGAAAAATGGGGCTATAAACTATCATCCATGACTAGTTAGTTGGAGGAGGAGAGGAAATTGTTAAGACAGTAAAAACTTTAATGAACATAGCCTTTTGTGTTGCTAAAAAATGAAATTTATATGATGTCCTAAGCTGGGGTATATTCTTCATAAGATTCCATTAAGGCATCTTTTACTTTGGTCTGAAATATTTACAACTCCATGAATAATGAACTTTTGAAAAATTCTTTCCGTATAAAAACACTCAAAGTTAAATAGTTTTGAAAGCTCCTAATTAAAGTAGAAAAGAGAAAAAAATACAATTCTTTAGTTATTCCGAAAAAATAAAAGAGCGACGATATAAATCTCAACTTTGTAGCTTGCTGTTTTCTTCCACCTTTTTCCGTCTCAGTCGCCACATAGATAAAGCAGTGATAATTATTACTAATTAGAATTAATGATGGTAAATTTTATATACATACCCGCATGCACCCACATTATCTGGCACTCAACAGCGACTGGGGAGCCTGAGATGCATCACAAGCACGGGACACCTGCGCGAGACCCTGTGTCAGAAATTCAATCTTTGTCAAAACAACTGGCAGACAGCTTAACAGGAGAGTGCTGCCTAGTGTTCAGCAGGCCCTAGGTCCCATCCCCAGCTGGGGGAAAGGAAAGTAGCAGAAAACAAGGTTTTGTTTTTGTTTTGTTTTTCTTTTTTTGCCTTCTTGTAAGAAGCCAGAAGAGAAGTTTAACTTCGAGAAGTCATCATAGGAAGATACTCAAACTTTCATTACAACCTTTCACTGGTACAAGGATAAAGGGACAGTTTGTGTATTTGATCCTCTACTGCTGCCCCACTCCTGTAGAAGGGAATGAAATGTATTGGCTGGTTCATCTCAAGGGCAATTTTCCCTGCACAAAGAAACAGATGAGCCTTGGGTGGTGGTGAAGGCCTATAATCCCAGCACTCTGGAAAGCTGAGGCAGGTGGACCGCAAGTTTATACCCAGCCAGGGCAGCTTAGTGACTTACTAAGGTCCTTCAAAATTAAAAGGGGGGGAGGGGTTGTGGATATAACTCAGCAGGAGTTCAACCTCCAGTACCAAAAGAAAATAAATAAATAGCAAACAGATGAGCCTATGAAATGAAAGTCCTACAAAGGCAGTGGTAATTTATATGACAGGAAGCTGGGAAACTAATAGAGAGCACGAGCCTGAAATAATTTCCATCAGTGTTAGAAACAGGATCACCTCTCAATTATTAAATTATTTGTCATCTTCTCATTAACTGTTCCATTCATTTATTCAACAAACACACATTGAGCCTTTGCTTTATATCAGCCACTACCCTAAGCAAAACAGGAAAATTTCTCTTCCTGTGGATCAGGGGAGGGAAGAGAATGAGAAGGCTGAGGGAGGAAAGGTATTGGCAGGGCAGAGCAGGACAGGAAGAAGCCCAGCATGGTGACACACACCCGTAAGCTCAGCTACTCAGGAGGTGAAGCAGGAGGATGGCAACTTCAAGGTCTGACCAGGGCAATTTAGCAAGATTGTGTCTAAAAAAAGAAGAAGAAGAAGAAGAAGATGACCTGGAAGGAATGAGGACCCTATCATATTCATATTGTCATCTGAACGAGGGGCATCTGGCAGAGGCAGTGGCAAGTGCACAGGCCTGAGAAACACATGCTGGGTCAGGGGAAGCTTGGAGCAGGAGCAGGCCCATCGTGCAGAGCCATGCAGGGAAACAGGTCCACCTTGAGACATCATCCTGTGATTTCCTGCAAAGCAGGACAGGACCCAGCTTTGAAAGCGGCACCATATCTTGGTGGCATGAGGAAGTTGGGCTGATGCCGAATAGCTGGATTTCTAACTTCAGTCCTGGACAGAGAGATAGAAAGAGGAAAAGAGAATAAAGAGCAGAGATCTAAGAGGAGGACCCAGGGAAAGAGAAAGCAGAGCTGCTTCGAGGTTCTGTTGGCCTTTGCCGTCTAGCAGAGTCCTACATCAGGGTTCTCGTGGCCTTATGCGGTCATTTACTAAGTCAACGGTCTTGTCCCCAGCACCTGTGACCAGTGTTCTCCATTTTAGCTTCCTATTAGAATTTATTTGGGGTGGGCTCCCCACAACCAGATGGAGGGACATTCTACAATTTAACTCATCAGTACTCATCCAACATGCCATGGTCCCAACAGACAAAGAAAGACTGAGAAATCATTCCAAATTAAAGAAGTCTAACATATGCCCATGACATAAAAATGGGGTGCTAGAAAAGAACATCGACAAGAATTGGCAAACTTTGAGTAAGTCTGTAGAACAGACATCAATTAATTCCCTGAGTTTGATCCTGACACTGTCAAGTAAATGATGAACGTTTGGGAGAGCTGCCCAAAGATACAGATCCCTATTTCTTAGTCTTTTTGCATCTTTCATAAGGATTTAAGTCATTTCTAAATAAAATGTGAATAACTACCATCCCCCAAGCCAAGATCCACATCAATATGCTGGAGACAAGGGCATTTCTGTAGGCTCTTTATAAAAGCTACAGAGCTGATTCTGAATTCTCTAAAGAATTGGAGGCTCCTTCCTGAAAAGACCAAAACTAAGAAAGGTAACTGTTATTTCAAAAGCCTTCCTACACTACTGGGAAAAGGAGGGAGATTGGGTAGCATCTCAAAATCCCCACCTAAGACAACTACCTCTACTGTCAGTTTCTAGCTAACAATTTTATCCTGTTCCTACACTGCAGGACGCTCCTCTCCCTGTGGAAACGGCAGATGCTAAATACCACTGACTCTCTGCAAATACAGCTATAAGAAAATGAGGTTTAATCTGCTTTGATTAATAAGGAGGAAGCAAAAGGCTAGCCATGCACTGGAGGATACAAGAGGAAAACAAAAGACAGGGAGAGATGTGCCCAGAAAAGCAAAGGGAAAAACCATGGAAGGTTATACAACATAAAAAAGATCTCTGGATTCTGATTCAATTTTAGTGGTTGCAAAAACAAGGCTCTTGACTATTTGCATATAAATGTGCTGGAGGTGGGGGAGCCGCAGTACTCAGCTGCGCATTCTAACTTTCTCCTTAAAATCTGTTCCCAAAGCAGCTGCAGGAATCAGCTGCAAATTCCAGATCTAAAAATGAAAGTCACAGGGTTGAACAGAGGAGGAGGCTGGGAGAGGAGGGAGCCAGGACACTGAGAGGCGCCCTGGTTAACCCCTTGGGGCCTGCAGCCCATTCACGCTGCCAGGGAGCCTTAGAACATCTCCATGCTCAGTCTGCACCCTAGAGCAATGGCATCAGAATCACTGTGGAATGGGGCCCAGGTAGCCTGTGTGTGAGAATTTCCCAGGCAATTTGAATCAGCAGGCTTGCTAAACTGTAGATCAGGGGTCTGCCTGCAAACTCCGTATGAGGAAAGAAAAGTAAGTATTTTAGGCTTTGTTTCTTCTCTGTGCAGCCCGAGAAAATGCCAGGGGGTGTGCCTGTGTGTAGAGGGCTCATTTACAGAACACTAATTGACAGGCTCTGCTCTTGACACTTGCTGATCAGAATGTGATCTTTGGAGCAGCATCTCAAGGATGCTCATTAGAAACACTGAATCCCAAACTCCAGCACCCTCTTGAATCACATCTGGTGTTTTAACAAGGTCCCCAGATGACAATGGCACTCTGAAATGGGAGGAGCAGGCATGAAGCTGAGGACAGTAAGTGATGTCCAGCTTTGGGAGCTCAGAGAGCTGGGCTGAGTCTTGCAACACCAAATCTTTTGTCCTTAAAATTGTCCTTAGCATTCATACAGGGATCGTTCTGGCTCTCTGCCTGTTTAGGAACTTTGAAAGGTATAAAGTAAAACAGAATATGAATTGTCAGTGGGGGGAGCAAAAGCTCTGGCTTCTGGCCAAAGAGGGCGCTGTCCAGTAAGCAGGTGCTGGGTTCTGTGTCCTCAGCTGGCTTGAGGCTGGCTCCCACCTGCTGTCATTTTGTTGGCCAAGGAGCTTCAACCCCTCTTTTGCCAGGCTGCCGTTTGCAGCTGCACAACTACAGAGCCTGAGGACAATTACCATGAGCCTGCAGAACTCAAGACAGCCTGGAGCTACTGAATCCCACCCATTTGACTCCATTACGCTGGCTTTCTCCAATTCTGTCTAGCCCTGCCCCGGGCAGGGAGGTGGCCGGCTCAGTACCTGGAAAAGCATCACAACTCAACAATTTTTCAGAGGATAAGCAGACACAGAAAGCAAGATTCTCAATTCTGGGGGCTTCCATCTTCAGGTCCCAAGTACCCATAACGACTGGTGGTCTTTCTGTATAAGCAAGCAGAAGGCCTGTGGGTTTTCATTTGTTCCAAAGGAGCCATGTTGACATTCCCTTGCTTTACAGAACTCTGACAAATGAGAACAGAAACTCTGTTTCTGTTCTCACTGTTTATACTCTGCTGCCATGAGCAGATGGCCTAGGGGTCTGTGTCCTGGCCCAGAAGGTTAATGGGACTTAGGAAGATGCTTCTAGTGTGCTCTCCAAGCTGAGGGACTAAGCAGGAAGGCAATGAACTGAGCAGCTCTCTCCGAGTGCCTGTCTGCCAGTCATCTGGGACTAGCTGTTGTCAGAGGATGTTTGCCGTGTCCTAGAAAAATGCTCTCCCTGCAAAGCCCTGCCAATGATTAGAGTGTGAGAAGTGTGTACACACTGCTTCATAAACCTATGCACCTGCCTCTGAGGTGTCTCTGTGGAACTCGGCTTTGACACATTGTGTGGTGTGGACTTGGAGAGGACGCATGAGGGATGTCACACTGCAATCAAGGACTGGGACAGTTCCCTGAGCACTAGCAGCTGGAGGAGCCAACATTGTCCAGAGGACTCTCTTCTCTAATCTGCAGGACAGATGCCTCCATGGACATTGCCAGAGGCTGCAGGGCTAAGGCTAGGATTCTGCACTCCTAAGAGTTCTGCACCTGGAGCACGGAGGAAAGTGCCTATGTCCCCTCTCCTTAAGATGTATGGGGCTTGTGAAAGGCAGGAGGTGATATTCTGACTTCTAAGGGTAGATGATAAATGCTGGTGCAGTTTCTTGTGGTTCCCATGGGATGCTCACGCCATCCTAAGGAAACACCATCCTAAGAAACTCGATCATCCCGAGAAAGTGAGGCAGCAATTGAGATCTTGGCCCACAGGCCCAGCCAACCCTCCAGCTATCCCACAGCATCACTTGCAAGCTGCATAAGTGAGCTGTACATCTAAAACCCCCAGGATCCTAGGAAGCAGTAGCTTTACCTCTAGTCAGGTTGCCCCATCTGAAACTATGTGACAGACAAGCTATGCTCACTACTCTACTTAGTGGGTAGACTTGTAAGCAAATAAATCATTGTCCCAGGAGCCTTCTACTTGGGGCTATTTTTATGTACCAAGAGTATGCATAAATTAGGTCTTTCCTTTCTAAATACCTTTTCTGCATATCTGATCATTCGCATTATTTAAATCACTGTCTTCTTAGAGCCCTCTCCTAAGGTATGTGTGTATGTAATTGCCTACCAGATACTGCAGCCCCAGTACACAAATCTGTATTGCTTGCCCTATATTCATCCTTGCCTACCCCCAAATACCTTTTCCATGTTTATTTGGTGTGCCATCAGTTTGGTTGTAGGAGCCAACATTCCCTGATCCCAACTCCAACATTAGGCTGGTGCTGCTGGCAGACTGACATCCCTGGCTTCTGTCCATCCCTCTGCATTCTTTAGGACCCCGCTGCTTACATTTATGTCAGTGTTGCCATCATGACAGGTTCCAATAAGTTCTGGACACATTTTTTGCTTTGCTCTTTGAATATACTGCCAGTGTCCTAGAG